CATCTACTTTGTTATTATTTAGGGGTTCTTTGTTCTTCCATATATATTTTTAAATCAGATTTTCAAGTTTCACGAAAAGTCCTGGTAAGAATTTGGAATTTCATTGAAAATATGAACACATTGGGCAAACATTAAAATCTCTATTATATATGATTTATCTGTCTAATCATTTAATGTCTTTCAATGAGTTTTATCTATAAAGAAATATATTTTGTTACCTTTATCCTTAAATACTTAATATTTTTGTGTTTCGTAGCTATTGAACATAGCAACTTTTTAAAATTTACATTTTCTAAACGGTCGTTGCTGGTGAATAAAACTGCAATATATATATATTAATATATATATTTTAAATCCAGATAGCTTGACAAACTTCTAACATCTAATTTTTACTGTGTAAACATTATGTAAGTAGCATATTATTAAATATTTTTGATGTTTGACTATCTTTGTTTTTTTAATTGGAGTGTTTAATCCTTTTGCATGTATTGTGATTGATATATTTGGCTGGATTCTTAAATCATATTATGCTTTGGATTTGTATTAACCACCCCATACCTCTGGCCTCTTTTGCATTGAGGCCTTCTCTTCATTTCCTTTTCATTCCCTCTATACTTAACAACTATAAAGTTAATCATCTTTACCTTCCTTCAAAATAAGGGCAGGTACCCTTACAATTAACCATTTTAAGTCAAATTACCCAGGTACAAGGTAAGCCCTTTCAATATGTTATTTATATCAGTTATTTATATCTTCTTTTATTTCTAGAAAGTTGTTTTCTGCTTCAGAGGCTCCAATTAAACAAATGTTGGATCTTATTTGCCAGTCTTCTATTTCAATCACTTTCTCTCTGATCATTTTTACTTCTCTCTTTATCATATTTTTATCCTCTTAATTTTGTTTATTTGTTTTCATGCCTCCTTCATTTGAAAACAGTCTCCTTTGGGCATCTTGTGATTTATTCTACATTTCTTCAATCTTTTTTTTTCTATTCCATTAACTCTTTTTTCATTTCTTTCCTTTTTTGTTCATAGTTTTCAGAATTCTTTTTTAGAATAACAAATAAATGTTTGAGAACATTTAGTTTCATTTAGAATATTGTTTTACAATTTTCTTCTGCTTTAGTTTTTTTTTTTTGAGGGGGAAGATTTTCAACAGGTGAAATGTTTTGATTTACATATTCTGTTTTCTTATTATTTTGTGGTTTTGAAGAGATTTATTCTGATTTCTATTTTTAGGTATTTCATAGAGAGTTCCCAGTTCAAAGCCATCCTCTCCTGTCACTATAGTGTAGTGCAATTTTTAAATGGGTGACGTGATGTTTGGGAAGCGGAGCTGCTGACCTGTCTTTTGATTCTCTTTTATTTATGCAGAATTATTACTTTTCTTTTCTTCTTTTTCTTCACTTCTACATAAGGATACTTCCTCCCTCTCTATTTATGTGTTTTTTTTTTCTTCCACAGGTGATGCTTCAAGACTACCACCTCCAGTTTTGCTGAATTTTCTGTAACTGTTTCTGTGATCCACCAAGTTCTAGATTTCTGTTTACTGTTTTAGAGCTTAGTGTTAAACTTTCTCTTTTTGAGAATAACTTTGTTTTTGTTTTATCTATGTTCTTCATTCATCTCTTCTCTTTTGCATGATGTGTCTTAACACTGCCTTTCCCACTGCTCTCCACATTAATAGGCTTATAGCGGCAATGAGAGACCTAGTAGTACTTCTGTTGACATTTAGTATTTATTTGTCTACTTAAAAGTAATCTGAAGTAATCTCTCTTCTGGGACATGGGTGGATTATTTGTTCTCCTTTTTCATTTTATGATTTGGGGAGGATGTATGAAGAGATTTAGATCCAGACAGCTGCCATTGTCTTAATGTCAATAAGAATTCCTGTGAATATCTTATGGTGGAAAAAGCTCTCATATACTTATAATATCAACATTCATATAGAAAACTGGGCAAAGTCGATTTACAAAGAAAAGTTCAAATGGCCAATAAATATATGAAAAACATTCAACCTAATAATTAAAAACAAATAAAAACAATATGATTTTCTCATTCTCAAAATAAAAAATGCCTATTTAAAAAAATAATATCTACTATTGACAAGGGAGTAGAAAAACTGACAGTCTTATATATTACTAATGGTAGTATAAGTTGGCACAATCTTTCTAGAGGGTAATTTTTCATATAAACAAAAAATCTTTAAAAAGGTACATATTCTTTTATCTAGCTATTTCACTTCCAGATATTTTTGCAAAGGAAATATTTATTAATCTACTATTACTATAAATCAATTACTTATCAGGTAATATTTTTGATTTATAAAAATCTGTTATCAAACTAAATCTACAGAGGCTTGTCTAAGATTAAAAATGACGTGAATCTATGTTTATTGACACGAAAATGTATTTCTACGATTCTATTGTTAAGTAAAATGCATAATTATAAAATAGGATTATGTATTAATTTTAAATTTAAGTAAATGTTTGCAAATTCGCACACAAATGCACATATATGCATATACAGGAAAATGTCTGGAAAGAAATATACCAAAATTTTAATTGTGGTTATCTTGACATGGTAAGATTATGGATTATTTTTATTTTCTTCTTTCTAAATACTTTTCTGAATAATCTTCTTGTTAGAAACACATTTGGCATATATTACTTCTGCATCAAAAAATTATTTTCATTTGAAAATTATGCTGAATGTCTTGAGTCCAGCCCCAAATTATGCTGATCCAATTCAAGAACAATCTCTGAGGCATGGCTATCTATGCTCCATTTATCTTTGAAATTATCTTAAATGAATCCTTAAGGCAACTTCTAGACCCTAATAAATCCCAGAAGATTCTTGACACATTTAGGATTTAGGATTAGTTGTATATCTCCCTCTCTTCTCCCACTCCCATTTTTCTTCTTATGTGAGCCAACTTGTTGACTGAAAATATTGCTCGAGAGTGGCTACATGCACAGCAATATAATTTATCAACACTAGTACTTCTGGAATGTACCAGGAGTAGCACTGTGCTTACTCAATAGTACAATATAATCTACCAAACCTATCCCCCAAAAGAAACATCATCTTCTGTGACTTTTTACAAGCCAAGATTTCACTCCTTCTAGTTCAAAAAACATGAGTCAACTAAAGTCAACATTAATAAAAACAACCTTGTCTTTCAACTAGCACATAGAAAAGCAGAGAATGCTATCAGGCTCTCTATGATACAACTCATTTCTTCATCCCAGCTTTGTGGCTTTTCCCCTCTCTCCGCATGCACTGGAAGGAGCCCTAAGTGGACTTTGGAGACCTTCAGTCTAGTGGCTTTAACGTGGTGTGAGACTTGAGACAAAGCATTTACTTTTTCTGGGCTACTGTGTTTTGTTTTTGCTTTTTTCCTCCCTAATGAAATAAAGTACAAGAGATTGATAAGTAGATGTTTTAGATTTCCTAACAACTCTATTAGTCTGTAAGTCAATGAATCTTTATTTACTAATATATATCTAGGCAGTTACACCTGTTGGATTTTGATTTTCTTTAGTTCATCTGTGTGGAATTTAAGGCTGATAGACATAAATTATTTAAAAATTCCTTCTTAATGAACACTCAATTATTAAAGTGCAGTAAAGATGTTCAAAAATGCTTTGAAAATAGCTTTCAAATTGTTTTAGCATTATTTTCATATTTGCAAACAAATGAAAGTTCCCTTTGTCAAGTAAAAGCAACAACGGAATATATGTTGATTTCTTGGTCTGATAATTCTTGCTAAGATATAGCATATGGGCACAGCCAACGGTCTATCTAATTTACCAGTATGGAAGGGGTGGGGAAGAAGCAGAAGGTGGATTTCATGGCTAGATAGCATCTCTTTGAGAAATATATTCCCATTATCAGGCTGGAAAATAACGTTTGGATATAATTTAAAAAATAATAATTATCAGTTTTTGTATTGATTCTTTCTAGTTATTTTATGTAAAAGTATTTGTGTAAAATTTTTGTGTTCCCTTTAGTTATTCGAGTGGCTTTCTTGTGTACCTCAGAGAAGTCATATGACCTCATGAGATTTGTTTTAGTCATTCGTTAAATCCGTGGTTTGGGTGACATGATCTAAGATAACTTTTTGCACTAAAATTCTTTATATGTCAAACCAATGACACTGGTAAGAAGGAATTTCTACCTTTGTTCTTATTGCATATGTCCATTGTAGTAGAATTAGAAAATAGAGATGAGGAAAAACGAAAGGTATTTATGATTTTACTACCTAGTGATAACCACTATTAATATTTTGGGTATCATCTTTTTCTATGCATATTTTTTCCCCAATGCAACTCATACTATACATGCTGTTTTATGACCTACTCCTTTTAATAACATCAAAAATAAGTATTCTTTAATAATTATGACACTAAATTATTTTGTACATATGAATTACAAAAAGAGACTTTAAAAATATTTATTTTATTTATCTTCTGAGAGGAAACATGAAACTAATACCCTCACTTATATTATTACTTTTTTTATTGAATTATCATTTATTGACAGTAAAATTCACCCTTTTTGGTGCAGTTTTGGGAAAAGCATTTAGTCATGTAACAACCATACAAATCAAGATATAGAGCATATCTATCAGCTAGAAAAGTTCTGTCATGCCTCTTTGTCAATCAACTTGCCTATGACTCCCAGATCCTGGCAATCACCAATCTTTTTTCTGTTCTTATAGTTTCCCCTTTTCTAGCATATCATAGAGTATATAGTCTATAGAGTCTTGCTTCCTTCGCTCAGCTCAATGCAGTCATCCATGTTGCTGTGGGTACCAGGACTTTGTTCTTTTGATTGCTGATCATTCCATTGTTTGGAAGCACCACAGATTGTTGATCTATTTACAGTTAGTTAACATTTGACTCGTTTCCAGTTTTTGATGGTTATGAATAAAGCCACTGTAAACATTTACGTTCAGATTTTTATTTAAACATATATTTTTATTTCTTTCGTGCCTAGGAGAGTGTTGCCTGGTCGTATGTCTAACTTCATAAGAAACTGCCAAAATGTTTTCCAAAGTAAGTGAACCATTTGTTTTTTCTAGCAGCAAGAATGTTCTAATTGCTTTGCATCTATGTCAGCACTTGATATTGTCATTTTTCCCCCCAATCTAATAGATGTATAGTGGTATTTTATCATGGCTTTAATATGGGTTTACCCAATAGCTAATGATGTTGAGCATTCTTTGATTGTGCTTATTTGACATTTGCACATTTCCTTTGGTGAAGTGTTTAAATCTTTTGTCCAATTCTTAATTGGGTTCTTTATTTTGTTATTATTGCATTTTGAGAGTTCTTAATATATTTTGCCATTTTTAGATATGTGTTTTAGAAATGTTTTTTTTATTAGTCTTTGGCTTGTTTTTCATTTTCTTTACAGTATCTTTTTGACTAGGAGCTTTCAATTTTAATGAAGTCCAATTTATCAACTTTTTCTTTTGTGTATCATGCTTTTTGTGTCATGTTTAAGAAATCATTGCCTAACCCAAGGTCATAAGATTTTTTCCTATATTTTCTTCCAGAGGTTTATAGTTTTAGTTTTTACATTTAGGTCTATGGTCCATTTTAGGTTAATTTTTATAAATGGTAGGAAGTATGGGTCAAGGTTAATTTTTTTGCATATAGATATTCAATTGTTCCAATATCACTTGCTGAAATAACTGTTCTTTCTCTTTTGAATTGCCGTTGCAACATCACATTTTGGTAAATAACATAAATCAGTAATTTGCGTATACTGCCTAATTCTAGTTCTGTTTTATGTGTCACATGTAACGGCATCGGTTTTATGTGTCACGTGTAACTGAGATGACAAACTATACTTGGCTGCATCTGTTTTATGTGTCACGTGTAACTGAGATGACAAACTATACTTCAAGATGATCAGCGCTTCTTAGAGCAGGTTGAATTTTAATGTTTCTCTCTAGTGTATCAGCAAAAAGCCACTCTATTTGGGGGAGCTTAGAAGTCCTGGCCTCTTTTAGAAAAAAGGTAAAATGTACTTTTTACCTGTTGGTTCATTTATGTCAAAGTTTTTTATAATTTTAAAACCAAAACCGGAAGAAATTCTCAATTTATAGTTATTTGAAATTTAGGATGCATTTTTTGCATAGAAATAGCATTTGTAAATGATGGTGACATACCCAGGCTATCCTATAAATATTTGATTAAGCAAGGCATCACGAAGAGCTACCATACATTTATAATATGGAGAAGAACCAGCAAGTAGATGGACGCTTGTGAAGATTTTGATAGAAACTTATTTAAAACGTTTAAGTGTGCTGTATGTCAATTATATATTGATTTAAAACATAGTATTTTCTATTTGATCTTATATTTTAATTACATTGCAAGAAATGTCAGTATAGTACAAAATGCGAAAATTCACAAGCTCATATTTCATTATGAAGTTAGTTTGTACAGAGCTTTGGAGAGGCTTTCATTAAAAAATTAGATTTTAGATATTACAGATGCTGCCTCTTCAGTAGAACCAATGTAGCCTAAAAAGTATGGCTTTCTCGCTTTTTAAAATTCAATAGCATGATTATTTTATGCGTTATTCATGATGGCATCAAAATGAATGATATTCCATTAAATATCTACTGTGTGGCAGATAGGTATTAGTGCTTTGCTTAAGTTATTTTAATTAATCTCGTTCCTATAACAACTCTTTGAAATAAGGAATTCATCTCCATTTTATAGACTTGAAAATCGAGATTTAGGGAGGTTAGGTAATTAGCTCAAGATCTCACAATTAATAAGTCATGGATATGGAATTCAAATCCAGTTCTGTCTTACTTCAGCATCCACTATCCCCTGATGATTAAATTGACTTTTTGGCTAGTAAAATAAATGAGTAGGAGAGATATCTTTCTTAAAAGAGAGAGAGAGGAGGAGAAGAAGATTATTTAAAGTAGAATTGAGTGATCTGTGAATGATGACTTAAAAGAGGCGAATATGTTCTGTCAAAATCCTTACAGAGGAAAATAGGATTAGGCATAGAAAAGGTACACTAAATAAATGAGTTTCTCTTTCTGACCACTAGATGACACCATTGACAAAAAACACCTTGGTTGCTGTGGGGGCGGGGGATGGTGATGATGGTGGTTGTGGTGGGGAGTTTGAGGCAGGAAAGGATGGGAGAAGGACACTGAAGAAAGTTGTATTAGAAAGTGGCAGTTCACCTCCATAATGGACATTTGAAGCAGGCAGATGTCATGTCAATCTTGTGGAGAATGCCTTATAGAGCAAAAAATACAGCATGTGGCCTGTTCAGGTGTCGCTTTTGATCTAAATGTGCATCATTGCTATTTTTGACAAAACACAGAATCTTAAGCTTGGCTTTATAGGTCTGGAGCCTGAGTCTACCACTACCAGCTGTATTTCATCAGGCAAGTGATTTAACCCTTTTGAGCCTCAGTTTTCTTTTCTGTTAAGTGGGTATATCTACCTCAAAGAAATATTGTGAAGATTACATAGAACAGTAGAGATAAAACACTTAGGATAGTGCCTTCCTCAAAGTTCTTGCTAAATGCTATCACTGTTGTTATTATTGGTGTTGGGTAGAATCTCTGAAAAAATGACAGCAAAATTAAAATAAAAAAATGAATGAGTTAACACATTCAAAAACAGGAGGAGAGAAGGTTTTTAGTTTAGATAATAGAACTTATTTTTCTTTTAGGATGTAAATAAATATTGTACACTTAATTGAACAATGCAGTTGAGCCTCCTATATGTCTTTTAATTTCTTAATAGAAAAAAAAGTTTGTGTCCTTGCTTATTTTGCTAAGAAATCATGTCAATACTGTAACATTTGTGGTCAACTCCAGGCAAAATTTCAAGATGATAAAATTTATCTTTGATGCTTTCTCAGCTCTCACTTCCATACTGGTGTCCTTCATTCTTTTTCTCTCCTCTTTTCTACCTTGACCCTCTCTTCGCTTCTCCCCAAGTTTCCAATTATCTAATTCTGCTTGTTAGCTATCCCCAACCTCTCTAAGAAACACCAAGCATACTCTTCCTCTCATGTCTTCCCAAAATTCCAAAGTTGCAAAATTACATCTTCCTCATTCCCCATTCTCCATAAAATTCCAATTCAGTCAATCTCTCTATCTTTGGAGATCATAAGTTGGATTGACTAATTGATAATAAATTGAGAATGAATAGACATTTTTAGTATCCCTAGGAATATTTGCATTTTGTAAAGACCCAATTAATGGAAATAAATCTGTAGGTTATGGCATTTCAAGCCATCTGAGAAAATTTAAAAAATTGAATAATTCTGAATAACAGAAGAAAGTTTAGAAGTGTGTGTGTGTGAGGTCTTCCTTAAATCACAACAGTTAGGTGGCCACCAAAGATATATAGATCATTGAAAATCTCCAAAAACTCAGATTTTTATTTATCCAATGCTTTTAATTTTTTATTCAACTTTTTACCAATATTGTTTACACTTAGGAAAATTAATTCTCTTTAATTTCTTTCTATTCCTCCATTTTTCCACTTTTCTACTCTATTAGTGTGGCAAGTGCTTCTGGTTACTTTCCAATAGTCATCCTCTTTTCCTTCCATATTAATAAAACCTCTACTTTTATGGTCACTAGAATAAAGATCACATTCCCTAGCTTCCCTTGCAGCTAGAAGTGGCCATGTATTTACATTTCAGACAATAAGATATAAGCAAAAACGTTGTTTGCAACTTAAGGAAATATCTTTAAAGGAGAGGGACTTCCTATATCTTTCCCTTTTCCTTAATCAGTTGGCAGGCAGACATGAAGACTGAAGCCCCAGACCCTATCCTGGACAAGGCCAATGAAGTCTGTTTCTTGGGGGTGATACAATGGGAAGTGGGAAGGAGCCTAGGTCCCTAATGAATTAATCCAATTACTGTGCTAGCTTTGTACTTCTGATCTCTGAGACATTGATATAATAGAAAACCACATGTTTAAGCTACTGTTAATTTGTGCTTTTGTCACATACAGCTGAATTTAATTCTAGCTACACGTAGCTAGTAGAAAGTTATAGTTCTACTAAATAACCAACATAGATAATTGTGATTCTGTGAAAGTATAACTCAAATTCACTAAGACAATTAGGTGGTATTTTTTGCAGTGAATATCTTAATACACAGCCTTAACCTCTTAGCAGTGGTATCTCTTACTGTGATGATTTAGACTAGAGACCAACACTATTCAAGGAAACATTTTGTGATGATGGAAAGTTTTATATCTGGGTTATTTCTGTGGAAGCCACTAGTCACACTTGGCTGTTGAGCACTTGAAATAGGGCTTTTATGTCTGAAAAGTTGAATTTTAAATTTTATTTATTTTAAATTAATTTAAAGTTTAGTGGCTACATGTGGCTTGTGGTTACTGAATTGAATAGCACAGCTCTGAGAGTTGATGCATGTACAACACATCCACATTTTTTCTTGATTTGAGCTACATTTTAAGTAAAGAAACTGAATGCTAAAAATGACCAATGGATTGATTAGTGAAGCCAGTTACAGCTAACTGACTACCACTTAGAAAGGTAGAGTGAGAATTGAAGGAAAGTGAAAACATCCCCCTGACCCCCAAAATAAGAATATACCCAAGTACATTTACCTTAAATGAATCATACTAGAATATTTTAGGATCTTAAAACATAGAAGGTTGAAATACAGATTTGTTTCTTTTGGTAGCATCCCTCAGAAGCCATAGGTGGTATGTGGTAAATTCGTTTTTTGTCCACCCCAACCCAAAGTTGACCCTTGATCTTGTGCTATTGCCTTAATGGCCTCACTAATTTCCAGGCTCATTCCCTCATTTCTGGTGAATAGCAAGGCCTCTTTCCCGTGTTTCAGGTGTTCACTGAGGTTACCGGGCTCTGCCTACAGGTGGCACAGTGTGAGCATGGCTGTGTATTCAGGAACCCTATCCATTACAGCCTCCTTGCATTTATTGTAAAACTGTTGATGGCTAAAACAAATACCCTCTGCCGATGTGTTCTATCAACAGCCCTGAGAATCAGGGTTGGTATTA